ATCTTGTATTCCAGACGATGCGTGTTCCAGTTTCCATGTAATCTTTACTGGCCGAACTTTGTATCTGGGGGGGGAATATTGTTTCAACAAAGAGGGTATTCTAAATAAAAGGAAAAAGGCTTACACTACCTAAACATGTGCTTTCCACTTCCTGAGGGACGGCAGAGTTCAGCAGGGACAGCGTTTTGTTACCAGTAGGTGCCCAAATCCACTCGGTCTCATCTCCTCCGGCCCGAAATCGGAGACGTGCTGGCGGTGTGTGAGCAGCCAACTCGATTCCATTTGTACTGAACCAAACAACCCCAAAATGTACAGACAGACTGCTGGTTTCTTTTCCATCCTCAAGGCCTGCGACCCCCTGGAAGCAGCAGCAGCAGCTCCGCGATGATTTTGCTGCGGGCTGGAGGGGCCGGCGCAGCTCTCCCTGGAGCCTGACTTTGCATGCTCTTGTTCAAGATAGATTTCAATGTTCCCTCCCTCCCCACCTGCACCGTAGGAGGAGCAGGTGGCCATGGGCGGGCTCCAGCCGTGCCTGTGAGCTCTGGGTCCCCACTGAGGTGGGACAGCCCCATTGGGAGCTCCCTCCTCGGTCCCAAAGCCCTGGGGGTGGATGGAGCGTGGTGTGTTCCAGCATGTTCCATTTTCTGGTGAGGTTTCCAGTAAGTTTTAATGCCATTTGGGCAGTGTAAGCTTCTGCATCTCTGTCCTGCTCATCTTTATTTTTTTTCTTTCCCCTCTGTCTCTATTTCCCTCTCCACCTTTTTCTTACAAAATTTATATTTTGTAAAAGGATTCTGTTTTATCAGGAAATATTTTGCCTTCATGCTGACTCTTAGACTGGCTGATTTTTTTCCCCTTTTCTGTTCACATTTTGACCTCTCCAACCTTTCACTTTATTTTATTTTATTATTCTTAATTTCCATCTCCTCCAGTCAGTCGCTGTTTGGGTTTTTGGCACCATCAATATCAAATGTACAAACGGTTCTTGCTAACCAACACCAGGTATATCTGATGTTCAGATGAGTTCCAATAAAGAATTTTTTTTTCAAAAACCTTTGTCTCCTGTCTTCAGCCACCAGGGCTGATCCTGGGCTGGGTGCAGGAAGGGTGGGCTCATCCCTCACGAGAGCATCCTTGGGGACCATGTTTTGGAGACACCAGATGGGAATGTTTGAGTTGGCATCACAAAAGATTTATGGATTGTGACATGACCCTGGCACAACAAGTTCTAGTGCACTGGATGTATAATAATAATTATTATTATGGTGGAAAATGGATTTAATGTCCTCTCACCCCTCCAGCCTTTCCTGATCATGCCCTTTTGCTGTGTTGGAGTCTCACACTGTACCAGGCCAGGCCCAGATTCCTCAAAAGGCTGGGGAGGAGGTTTAGGGTGTCTTTGATACAACATCTTGAATTTTTATAGCTGAAACTCCTGGGACACCAGGTGGTGCAGGAAAGAAACCAGAAAATGTGGTGGGTTTCACTCTGCTCTTACATCTCAGGCAGAAGAGAGGTGCATTTCTAGTTCCTAAAAAAAGGAAAATAATTCGTTTTTTAAACACTGATTAGTAAGATTCTTCTCCAAACATCTCTGTCCAGTTCACTGTGATGCCCCTGAAGTGGCATTTTCCCCAAGGATGTGTCATTTGGATGGGATTTGCTGAATTAGCTGCTGATTGTGGGTGAATGAAAGGAAATCCATTCATGGGGTGGAGATGGATGAGGAGTCACAGAATCCGGGAGAGCTTGGGTTGGATGTCACCTAAACCAGCACCCAGTGCCACCCCTGCCATGGCAGGGTCACCTCCCACTGTCCCTGGGGGCTCCAACCATATCCAGCCTGGCCTTGGGCACTGCCAGGATGGAGCATCCATGGAATAACCTGTGCCAGGGCCTGCCCACCCTCACAGGGAACGATTCCTGCTCAATATCCCACCCAACCCTCCCCTCCTGCAGCTTCTTCTGTCCTGTGTGTCCCTGCTGGGGATGGTGTCCTGCTCCAGCTGCCGTCCCCCAGAGGGGACAGAGCTGATCCTGACCCCACAGGTGACAATGTGACCAGGCTGGCAGGGCCCTGGGCTCGGGGCTGAGGGGACTTGAGCAGGATGATGCAGCAGGGCTGTGGTGACACCAGCTTTGGTGCCCTGTATGGGATTAGGGGGTTTGGTGACACATCAGTCCCTGGAATTGCCTTTGGAACAATGGGGTTTTCTGAGGCACCTCCAAGCGTGTTAAAATTAGGGCCAAACCCCCTCAAATTGTACAGCCTGGTTTTAAACCCTTTTGGCTTAAACTTCATAAAGCTGAATTTAAAAGATGGCAATTGCTGTGTGGATCTCTGGGGGATGCTTTAATGGACAAAGGGAATTCTCAGTGACAGCAGTGCCCAGGCTGGGCTGTCACTGCCCCCGTGGTTTGGAGAGGAGAGAGCCTGGACCGCTTCCGAAAAACAGGCTCCATAGTGGCTTAAAATGTGTTCTGATGGTCAGGCAGGGTTTTGGGGACAGTTCTGTCCTCACGGCAGATTTTGGGGGTTTTTTTTGAGATTTCCCTGCTGCGGGAATGCCATTGTCAGCCGCGGGTCCAGGGCAGGGCATAAATGGGTGTAAATGAATATAAATTAATTTGGGTCATTAGCGCCAGACCGGGACGTGTCCGAGCTTCCCTC